GCTAGAGTATTTGTTTCTATGTCTCAACAAATATATGTTTCTATGTCTCAACAAATATAAAATATNCATCTTCGTCTCAGTAAGAAGTTCAAATTAGGCAAGAAATAACTAAAGTTTTAGCCGACAATAGCTACAATTTTTTAATTTCAAGATATATTTTTTTGGTATTTGGCACAGATCAAAATCTTGATTTATACTATCAAAATCTACTCAATATATTTGTAAGATATATTTTGAATTTTTTCATATACATTTGAGATCATATTAATTACTGCAAACCCTTTCATATGGAGATGATTTAAAACATATCAGACTATCACCATAAAAAATAATTTTTTAATTCGTTTTGAGTTGAAAATGGTGGATTAATGGACTTTTGAGGATAAGATCGATGAAATCAAAGCAATGGTTAGTCAAGTACGAGACATAGATGTTGGCACATAATTTTGTGTGAAGAAAAATCACGATGTGAGTATAAAAATATGCACCAAAATAAACCAAAACCCCCGCCCCCACAATCAACTGATAATCATTAAAAACCAAGTCAAATTAAAACTTTATTTTGTTTCTGCAACATTACATACGAAACAAATTTTTCTACAATCAAACTGAATTGAGTCGTAATTATATTTAGTCTGTGAAGATTAAGGTTTCCCTAGGATTAAAACTTCCCTCTTAGGGTTTAGTTCCTCTTGACTTGCTAAAAAACACTAAGTGTTTCAAATTTTTACGTATATTTATGATTGACTGGCACTTGATCAATCAAATTTATTAGCCCTCCTCCTGTTCTGTTGCTAGCTGTTTCGATCTCGGAACTCACCGGATCAGTACAATGTACCATCCGCCACACGTTAACCGCCCCGCTTTGATGACCAGTTACATACCAGATTATTTTCAGCCATTCAGAGAACGTTGATCCCGTTACTGATGCTATCAAATCAGATGGTAACTGTGATGTGTTAACCATNGCAANGCAATNGCCGTTNATGCTCCAAACCGCGANTAAAGTTCCAGCANCANTTATGANTTCTCCTGAAAGGTCATTTACGTAGATTGCTGAAACGGGAACTGGGAAATCAGGAAGCTGCCTCACAAAACTTAAAGAACTGAGATCCCATAAGACAACTGTACAGTCATCTGAACTGCTTGCGATAATCATGTAAGGTTGGCTTACACGTAGACAAGTGACTTTGGCTCTGTGAGCACATAGGGCTTTCTCTAACCGTAAACGCCTTGAACCACGCGGACCATCCTTGTTGGCTCTCCACACAGAGAGTAGACCATCGTTAGCTCCAGTGACCACAATGACTAACACCATCACACTGGATCTGGTTGCCGTCATGAAGATTTTCATGGGTGGATAAGAGCTTGTCCTGATCATAGCTCATAAATCTCAAGCTCCTGTCTGGGAAACCCCATCTTATGTACTTCCTATAGCCTCTGGGTTTCAGGAAACAGATTGAGGCGGCAACAAGCAACTTGTCATGGAAAGTGATGATTAAGATGCGCCGAGTGTATCAGAGGATGCGGAGGGATTTTTCTGTCTGTCCTTCTTTTAACATGAGGTTTCTAGAATAGTTGCTTTGACGTTTGTCCAAAATGATTAATCTGAGCTATTACGGAAGCTTTCATCGCAGGATCCGTCACTGCATCGACATCCACATTCCCCTCATAAGTGTAATGATAGAAAACATTTACAGCTTTTTCTGCAGCCTGAAAAATAAACAGCCTCATGATTCAATATTTATAAGACATGACAGTTTGATTTTTCCGTTGACTAACAAATGGAGAACATGTAATGTACCTTTCCTCTTTGTTTGTACCCAAAGATGAGATTCTCTTAAACATAATCACACTCCAAAGCTTCTCTGTGTTTGCGGATGAATTGACGAACACTTCCTCTAGCCCAAGGAGGTAAAAATACATCACCCACCTGAAATTATACAGGGAACTTGTTCATGTCAACCTACATGAAAGGGAAATAGACAACTGAATGGTACATTCAAGCACCAATAGAACAAATGTACGTACCTTTTCTCCTAAATCAAAATTAAATCTGTTTTCTAGAAATTCGGGCATGTAGAAGAATTCAGGAATTAGTTTTTTCACATCTGATGTATTTCCTTTTCCAGATGCACTTAGCCAAGTATCTCTAATACTGTTGAAAAGTCGATCAAAATGACCACCTTGCAGCTTCTGATTTTCAGCACTGAACGGTGGGAGGCTAAGAAGGTAAAACAGAACAATGCCAGCACCCCTAATGAAATCCATGGAGAA